CGCAGGCTGACAAATAGCTCCAGTCATTTTCGTACATGGTTTTGTCACCCATGTGGTAATGTGCGACCGTACTGTTGCCAATCAATCCAATCCAATCCAAATTTTGGGAAACATGAAATCCAATCCAGCCATTTTCTGTCCACTCCAATCCAATCCAAATTGCCTCCAATCCAATAAGATCACTGATTCCATTCCGATCATCACTTCCCACAAGGCTTCTTTGGCCCAACCCCGGCACCTCATGGTGATCTCGTAGAGTGGTTTGAGTAGACTCTGTATCTCCGCCAACAGAAACCAGTCCTATGGTGATGTTGCATCTAGCAGATGGAAGTGATCATGTGTGTGAGAAGCTCTTGATTTCTTCCTATCTAATGAGGGTCTTTGGGTCAGTCTTATAGACGAAGAGACTGATGATGACCTCGGATGACCTCGGACAGCCAAGACAGTCCGGATGCTACGGACTATTTGACTTTATCTAGCTATTCACCTGATCAGAGGAAAAGCCGGTCTTGTGATGAGGCCGATGACGAGGCCGGTGACGAGGCAAGTGGCTGTGGACGCCTATGATGAAAGACAGAAAGCTTGACTGTTGTCATAGCCGCAGAAATCCGATATCCCAATTTGTGACAGGTGAGAGCTGATCTTGGACAGGCACACGTTGTCGGGGCTCTGTTGCCTTCGTTTTGAGATATGCGATGAAACGGTCAATGTGCTCTCGTTTGCGGATGGCACGCTGGATCATCAGGAAAGTCGAATTCCATCTGGTTTCATTGTTTTGCATCAGCTCGAGGTCGATGGCAGCTCGCTCCTCCTCAAAGAGTTGATAGCAGTCTTCGCCGCGCTGGTTGCATGCCAGAGATTGCATCAACTCTCGCCGTTGCGGAGAAGCCCTGACGAACCGGACGATGTTATGCAGCTTTCCCACTGCTCCCCGTTTCCGCCAAAGTCGAAGCTCACGCTCTTCAACTTGGAAAGCCGCCTCGGTGAAGGTCTCTCGCTCAAACGAGCCAGGGTCTTTTTCCCAGAGGAACGCTCGAGCTGCAAGGTTGACAATATGCCCAAAGCACCGTGTTCGATGGTTTCTAATATCCTCTGCGGGGTACTATTCCACAATCAGTCGCAGCCCACCCGCTCCACCCGTAGAACTCAAGTCATCTCACATGCTAACAACTCCCGGATATCGGACATTTAATTCTGGGAAACTCATATTGCGGTACTATTGCAGACCGGTCGGAAAGTTTCGACCACCCTCGCGCGTCTGCCCAATTGACAAGTGTGGCTTGACTTGCAACGTCTTTATTCACTTCGTGAGCAATGTGCAGGGAGGCGTGCAGAGTGTACAGCGCCCAGACGCTGTATCTGAGGATAGAGGCGGTTGCGGACCTTGTCTTGCGATTTCCATCTTTGTCTACTGTTTGGCGGGAGCGGAGAATGAGCATGACGCATAGAGTACACTGCACCGGTACTAGGGCTATTGCCATCAGTGGAAAATGGTATAATTCCTCACCTAGGCTACCTGCGCAAGTATCGTCGTACCTAGGTCTGCGCACGATGATTGTAGCGTACGCAAGTCTGCACGTGGCAATTTCTGCGCTCTGGAGACTCCTCTTCCCCGTGTTTTCTTCTCTCGCCGAGAACAGGCACATACATACACAGGGTTGCAAAGGGCTCGATTTGATTTGATTTATTTTGATTTGGATACGATTTATTTGCTTGTAACCCTGCACATACACACTAAAGTACTAGTATGTGCCTCGCCAACCTGGGCACGCTCATCTGCCAAACATGCGGGCGGCGCGTGGCGAGCAGCCCGCGGGGATGAAGCCGTGCGGGACCATGTGCGGCAAGTTTGTGTCGAGGGTTCAGGGCGAGGTGGTTCAGGGCGAGGTGGTTCAGGGCGAGTGTGGTGTTTGTCGCCAGGCGAGGAAGGAGAGAGCCGATCTGGCGTGGAGGCTGTCCCGGGCGTTTGGGAAGTACTAGAGAGAGGGAGGGCCTCGGGCGGTGATTGCGACGATGATGATGATGATCATGGTGCGGATGGGGGTGTTCCTAGGGGGGAAGGACAAAGGGCACAGAGGGGACGAAGATAGTGATGGTGACGAGTTGGTGAGTTGTTTGTCTTCTTGGAGTTGGTCATGAGTCGTACACCAAGGCTTTCAATCGCTGCTTCGGGGCCGCTTCGGGCACTCTCATGAAACGGGATGTACATGCCATTGGGGATCTTTTGTGATCCCTTTGTCTATCTCATGAACCTCCCAAACAACATACGGTTGATCACCCAAGCCCGATGTTTTTTTGTGATTCGTTGCCTTTCATTCGGTAACAAACGCAGTGACTCATGATTTATCAGGCAACATCGAAGGATCGAAAACACTATTGGAATATGTCTCAAAGGAGCTCGAAGTCAATGTGAGGCTGCAACTGGCGGGCCTCCTTTGG